AGGAATGCCAACTCGTGGGCCCCCTGCAGAATCAGAACCTCTGCTGGGTGGGGTCCTGCAGTCCTGGTGACAAGCCTTCCAGATGGCTTTGGTGTACGCTTTTCTTCTTTATTCCAAAATAAAGAAAGAAAAAAGTGGCTCATTTAATAAGTGGGGCATTGAAAATTTACCCTAAAATACAGTGAGGAATTAGGGATTCAATTTGCGCTCGTGCAGGCTTTATACTGCTCTCTCCTTTCTAATTTTTTTTTCACCACTACGAAATTATGCTCCTCTTCTCAGGAAAAATAAGGACCTGTGCATGTGTCACGTAGGGCTTTAGAATAACGACTGTAACTCCGTTCAACTACTTGTGTTTGGCGTCCACCGACAGCAAGGCTCTGAGTCCTAGGAGCCCGTCTGGATATTTTTGCCCATTTGTACCTAAAAAGTGAAAGAATGGGGGAAAAAAAAAAAAGACTTACTTGCTTGTGACGTCAATTTTTTAATAAAAAAAAAAAATGAGAAGCTGGAGACTGCTGGCTGATATTTCCCCAGGGCCACTAATGCTACTTCCGCAGAATGCGCTGTAAGCTACGGACTTCCTGAAAGTAAAGCCCGAGTGAGCATCTGGTATATGCTTAAGTCCAAGTCTTTTATGTACTTTAAAACACATCACTCTCCCCAAAGAAAAGGTGAACTATCGATACATTTTGTGAAATATTGACAGTGCTTGAATGTAAGTAGTGTGTCTAGGGTGCTCACTATAATGTAGGTTGGTGGGGTTGTTTGGTTTGTTTTTGTTTTTTTTTTGGTATGTTTGAAGTTTCTCATAATAAGCATTTAAAATTGCTTTCCATAAGTAACTTTAGGATAGTACATGAAAGGGGAAAGAGCGAGATATAATTTCCACTTTAATTCCAATTCATGTAGTAGTTCAGAAAGGAAAAGCCATATATAAATCACCATACATAAAAATACAGCCATAAATAACTGCACCAAAAAAATCTAAAGAGAAATCAATAGGAAAAGCAGTAAAAGTAAATTCTGAGTGAAATGATTATAAGAGCCTCAGTGAAGACTCAGGTTTGTGGCTCCTTGAAATTTAGTTATGCTCCTTGCATTACTATTATTGGTAACTTGAAAAAATTATTTAAGAAAATCCTCTCCAGTCAACCAAACTCTCAAGAATTTTTCCAGTACATTCATACCAAAATATTAATAAGCATCACATTGCTTGATTGTAAAATTTAAGATCCTCAAGTATATAGAATATCATTAATTACATTGTTGTCAAGACAACTAAGTAACAAAGTAAAAATGAATCACCTCCAAGACATAATCTCATTAAAATAATCATGTTAAAAATAATACTAGGAGCTAATACTAATGTAGCCACTTCACTTGCCAAAACTGCACTTCTGAAGTATGTGGTTTTGCTCCAAAAGAACAACTCTTCCACCTTTAAAAGATAATCTACCTGATTAAATATGTCATGGTTTTGCCCGGTTGGACTGTAAACACCACACAGTAACCAAAGTTCAGTAGTGCTCAGAAAGCAAGGAGGCTGTTCTGTGTGTTCATGGAAATCTGTCTCAGTCTAAGTGTCCCTGGCTAGGAATCTGGCTGCAGTAACTGCTTGGCTTCTATTAGTCAGCAAGCTAAGTAAAATCAAATCAAATAAAAAGCGGGTAGATCAGGGACACAGCTAAGAGAACCAGGAACTGGAGTGTTGATAGGAGCCCAGGAGTTGTTCTGTCTCCTCTACACTTCTGATTTTTTCTCTCTTCTTGAAGAAACAGCCATGTGAGAACTCCCAAATTTGTATCTCTTCCCGAAAGTAACAGTGACTTCACTGTATTTATTGGCCCTTTTGTCCCCTTTATCTTGTTAAATTCTAATTTCCTCAGATTCCCCACTGTCCTCTTAAACCAATCTGAATAATATATCAAGGTCCATCTTCAAGTCCACCTTTCTCATAGAAATTCCTCTGCCTTCCAGGACACAGCGCCTCCTATGCACATGTTCTGGCACTTGTTAAGATTGCATTACACCTTGGAACCAGCAGTTAGCGTAATGGCTATGTCACTGGACTCCCATGTAGCTGACCGCGGTTCAAGTCCCAAACCTGGTGGCTTAAACTCATGCCGAGCGCATGTGCATGCGTGCTCAAGATCCCGAGAGCCCAAGATCCAGAGAGGAGAATGGAAGAGAAGGGATTGCGGCATGGCTATCCTCCCTGGGGGGTGATTTCTCATTTTCTGTCTCTCTCTGTCTTTCTGGTGAGCACACGTGCCCTATAGTGAAAACCTCTCCAAAAAAAAAGAAGAAAAAATTACATTACACTTTCTATGGTTCTCTGTATGTTTTTTGCATGTAAATCCTCACTCTCCATCTACATATTAAATGTCATACTCAGGCCATTTTGCAGAGTATCGAGTGTAGGACGTGGCACTGAGTAGCCCATAGTACATACTGAATATTAATTTGTGATTTTTCTACTTTTTACTTTTCCATATTGTGTTCATGTTTTTAAAAGGTAAGCCTCGGGACCAGCAGATGGCATAATGTTTACATGGCTGGATTCCCATGTAGTCGACTACAGTTTGAGTCCCAGTCCTGGTGACTCATAACACACTGGGAGCATGTCCGGGTGTGCCCAAAATCCTGGGAGGAGAATAGAGGGGAAGGGACTGCAGTGTGGGCATCTGCCCTGGGGGGTGATTTTTTGCTCTCTGTCTCTCTGGCACGTGCACGTGCCCTATAACAAAAATCTCTCTTAAAAAAGTAAACCTCTAGGAATGGAAATGTCCTTGCTGTTTTGTCCTTTAATTACCAACTACCCTTCATAACCCGTCATGTACAACTAAACGGAATTTGCAAATTAGACATTTATGACTGGACACTAACCAGGGTCTGAAAAAATCAATGCTGTCATAGGCAAGGGTTAATTATCACCTCTTAAAATAGGATTAATAGAGCCACCCCCTCTTTGCTTCCCATGGGTGTCATGAGAAATAATTAGGTCTTTAAGGTGAATATGTCTGTAAAATGTTTTATAGATAGAGGTAAACATAATGAAAACATGAGGCATTGTTCAGTGTATTATGAGTGTTTATTGTATTTAGCCGTCAGCTTCTAGATACATGCATTATGGCTACAGTGGTCATACATAAAATAATGAGTACACATTGGGTCAGCATCTCCTTCAACTATCATTTGCAAATAAGTCCCGGATGGCCAGAACGAATTGGAAGGTTGGCAAAAATGATGTTTCCCACACTAAAGAATGGGAGAGTCACACAGTGCAACCATCTGAGCTTTAGAGTGCACACATGAGCTCTTCAAAGGCTTTAGATTCAGACCAGGCTATAAGGAGAATAATAGGAGTTGAGGACTGGCCCCTTTTCTGGAACCACAACACCTCTCTGGTTTTGTATGGTTTCGAAGCAGCATATCATAATTTGTCCACCAGTTCCTTTGCAATATAGCAAGTGGGAGAAATCCTCTCCCCTTCCTTGACACCTGGAAGAAAAGATAGCAACACACTCCAGGACACGGCTAGAATAGTTTGATGAAGGATTTGTTAGATACTGTGCACTACAATCTTGACCAGAGTTTCCCAACTTCAGCACCGTTGAGCCACAACTTGAGCCACACAATTTTTGTATAGCAACGTCCCAGGCCTCAACCAACTAGATTCACAGTTGTGACAGCCAAAGTCACCTCAGTTGAGAAACACTGATTTATACAATGACCAAAGTGGGGCAACTGAATGGGAAGAAACTGAAATCTTAAGTTGATTAAGCACCCTTTTTGAAATGACTCACACTTGGATGTAGTACAGTGTGGTACACAGAAGTATGCAGTAGGTATCCCTATTATATCAGGTCAGCCAATGTTTTATGAGCTCTTAGTGGGCAAGCCACAAAATCAAGTACTTTTGTATATGTCTAAAACAAAAATGGCCAGGGTATGCTCCC